CGACCCGTTCTGACCCAAAAATTTAACGGATCTTCGGGTTCGGGTCATTTCGGGTTCGGGTCGCAAATTCAATGTTCAAAACCCGCTAATTTCGGGTCGGGTTTCGGATTAATAACGGGTCGGGTCAAATTTTGCCACGTCTAGGTATGATTAAAACCAGCGCTATTGTTTAATCAAAAAGTTTAACTTCTAATCTCAGTGTTTAATGAACCCAACAATACTTTAATGAAGCAATCATTTTTTAGTTTAATTTTTTAATATATATTTGTTCATCATAGTAACAAAAATAATAAGAGTAAATTACATAAATAGTCTTTTTTGACCAAGAGATTTTCATATATAAGCACTAATTCTAATATATTGTGTTCGTGATCTATTTTTGAAAATCATTCCAAAATAGATCTTTTGACTTAAATATTATATTTCACATAGTCTATGTAAAAATCACCGTAAATAAGACTAAAACATAAAAAAAAGTACCAAAATAGGACTTTCATATTTTTTATTTCAAAATAGAATTTTACACTGTTGTAATGCAACAATGTACATGTGCACATTACTATACTTTTTGGTAATGTAAATGACCATGTTTTGCAATGTAAATACATTTTAAATCTTATTTTGGGAATAAAGACTAGAAATCTTATTTTAGTATATTTTTGAAGTTTTAATCCTACTTTGGTCTTTCTCCATAATCCATAAAAACATACTCCATAAAAGACTGATCATGGAACAAATTTTAAATATCAAGGATCACAAATTTAATATCTTAAAGTTGAAGATTGTATTTGGAAAACTAAAGGACTATTTATAAAATTTAGAACAATAATAATAATAATAATAATAATAATAATAATAGTATGTCTACAGAAAAATCTACCAACAATGAATTTTAGGTATCAATTACAGTGAAAGCAAAGCACAAAGTTGAACAATCTTTCTTAAACGACAAGGCATTACTAGGGAATGGAAAGGCATATCGCAGAATACAAAGAAAGAAGGTAAATACTCCTTTTATCAAACCACAGAATGATAATAGGATCTCCAGCACCAAGAACAAATATGGTGACTTTCATGCTAGTGGACGCCAGCTCAAAAACCATGAATTTTGATGAATTCCTTCTTCACAATTCCAGCCTGCTTCCAAGTATCAAGCAATCATATTAAATAGGAAATAAACTAACAACCAAAACCGTAAATAAAGACATGAATGAAGAAGCATTGATCAAAGCTCCTCCTATGATATGCAGTTATGCGTACTAGTCATAAAGACCTGAAAAATATGATGAGCCTTATTTCCTTGCATATTCTACAATTAGTCATGGAAAGTTGAAGAAAAATATGTACTTTAAAAAAACAATTAGGACGATGTTTGGTTTCAGGAATTCGAAAGGGAAAAGAAAAGAAAATGAAGTGCAAAACAGTTTTCCTTGTTTGGTTAGAAAGGAAAAGAAAGGAAAAGTAGAAGGAAATGAAAATGAGAAGACAAAATGTACTAAAAGGGGGGAAAACTAAATTCCTCTCATTTTGGCTAGGAAAATGACAAAAAATCATTTTTCTTTTCTTTTCCTTCCAAATTCTTTGAACCAAACATAGTGTAGGTGTAGCAATGGAAACAAACATGGGGTATATATACCCTATTTGAGCATTCATGGAATCAATACAAATTCAAATCAAAATTGATATTTTCAGATTTTGGTACTAATCAGATTCATTGGCAACATGCCACCAAAAGAAAAAAGCACTACTTAAAACTCAAACTGTGAATTACGGAGTAAGATTTTACTCGTAATGTTTTCAATTGTTAAATATAATAGTGAGATTTAATTCACTGCTTCCAATTCTTAAAACCGAACATGATAAATCAGTGGCATTGCTAGTGAAAGTTAAATAACAGTATGTTATGTTGGTAACGAAAAAGGAATACACAAACAATTGAACATTACTAATAGTGAATGGTGCAAGTGAACTAATAGGTTGTGAATAATGATGCTTGACGCTGAACACTGTCATTACTTAGTTCATAGAACTTTTTTTTTAATAAAAGGCAGTAATACACTATAAATAGGGAATTACCTGCACGAGGAAGGTCGATACATTCTTCCGCTGGTCACCTTGAAGCTGAATAACCTAAAAATATCAAATTTTACTTAAATTAAATTGTTGCAAATATTTATTAAAAAAAATTGTTGCAAATAAGAATGAAGTATTAATTTAAGATCAAACTTGTAAAGACAGAAGGAACGGTTAGTGTGAACCTGGCCTAACTCAGGGTCCTGAACGACAGTTCCATTGCAGCAAAACTCTTTCTTGAGGTCCTTCAGAATTTTATTATAGCTGAACTCTTTCTTCACTCCCTGCACAGTTGTCAAGCTTTTCCTACCATTTCGTTGCTGAATGCGGATGTGCACATACTCTGTTGTTCCACCCGAACTATCAACATTTGCATCAGCAAATAAATCTGAACATGATAGAAAAGCACCAGTGCGTGGCGTGTTTAAAATAATACATGTATCAACTATTCCTCGACTTTGCAAATTCAACAACAGAAACTAAGGTTTGAAAAAAAAAACTTGTACCACCAAATTCGGAGAGCAATTGGATATGAAACAGAAGTAAAGAAGATGGTACCAAGAGTTTCAGGAGTCGCAAGATCAAGTCCAGACATGAAACTTGGTCGATAATGTGAAGGAGACGCGGCGACAAATAAATCTGCTTGAGAAGACGTAGCTACAAATCAATCTGCTTGAGCTAGTATTCTATCCAAAGACCTGGAAAGAAAGATTTCTCTAGAAGAATCAGTATTTATAGGCAAATACAGGCCACTATAAATTAATTCAACAAGACAACAAAAGTAAATCAAAAGCAGTATCCATGTATTATAAGCACACACGCACACATACGAGAAGAAATTTGAAAAACTTGATGAATCTATATATTAATTCTTCACTTTTACAAAGCACGCATGCAGCAAATGGGCCCTAATTACCAAAGCCAGAAAGAATCCCAATTTAAATGAAATCATCCGTGTAATTGATTAAGGAATTGCGCTCCCCTCCGCCACATAACAATTTTAAAAACGAAACAAAACAAAGGCTTAAACATAGACTTGACTATATTCCATCTCTGAAACTGAATCTACATCTCAATTACAGAAATTAAACCAAACCAAAGACGCAAACTAAAATAAAGAAAATTACCCAGACCAAAGATTCATTAATACCGCAGAAATATTTATTATTATGCCCGACAAATTAGTAAAATACAATAGATCCCGAAACCAATTTCGAGACTTGAAAAGAGAGAAAGGGTGGAAAAGCATGGATCCGGGAAGATCCACATCCATAAACCAGGCAGTACCTGATCGGGAGAGGGTGGAGGAGAGCGACGAAGAACGGTGGAGGGATCCGGATAAGTTCGTAGTCGAGGTGGGCTTTGCTATTTATTTTCCTAAATATTTGTCCTTTTTTTTTCTTATCAAAATTAACAAATTTTGATTACAAATTAAATAAAAGTGATATTCAATATTAATACAAAAATAATTTTATTACATTCGTTTTATAAAATATTTTTAAAAATAATATTTTATTTAATTAATATACTCGGTATAATATATATTTTATTTTATTATAGTTCAAATGTTAAAAATAGTTGAATGTAAAAAGTCAAAGCTAGACAAGTACTCAGTGACGGAAGTAGTACTCCGTAGTTTGTACTTTACTCCGTAGTTTGTACTTGTGGACCCTCTAATAGCTGTCTTACTCCCCCATCTCTTTTTAATCTTTTCATTTTTAGTTTTGAATTGTTCTTCTGGTATCTTTCCGTTTCCCTAACTTAATAACTTCCTCCACTCTAGACTATTTTATCTATCACGTTTACTTCACCCAATCCATCCCAATTACTATCCCACCTGCCCATCTATCTCCAACCCCCCTCCCTCATTAGGGGTGGACACGGTACGGTTCCGGGACGGTTCCGGTTCCGAAACCGCCGGTTCCGGTACCGCCACCCCATGTCGCCGGAACTGTCATCGTGCTGGCCGGTACCGGACCGGCCGGTTTCGCCCCCCTATTTTTTTTTGCTTTTTTTAAAATTTTTAAAGTATAAAATTGTAAATTTGCAATTGTTTAAGGAAAGAATGAAATAAAAAATCTAAAAATATAGTTGTTATTTAAATATTTTAAATGAATAATACACTAACTGAAGAACAACCACATTTAATATCCTGACGGTTCAAAAAAAGTGACGAGGTAAAGAACCGTAAAGAAACCCTCGAAGGAGCTTATATATCGCTCACCTAAAAAAACTAATTACATATTTACATTAACATAAAAAAATTATAACTTATTCTTCAGAACTCGGACTTCCATCTGTTGTTGCATTCATGTAATGCTCCGATTCGAGTTGGTACCATGACTCTTGAGCTCGACGTCTTGCCAAGAGCCAATCTTGGTTGCAAACCAGTGTTTCAAGAGATTCAGCGCTAAGACAACTTTGAAAGTCGGTTAGAATGTTGCCGCCAGCACTGAATTCTCGCTCAACTGCTACGGTTGATATCGAACGGATAACACTTGTCTTGCTAGCATGCCGAGACATGGGAACATGTGTTCGTTCCGCTTCCACCATCCGAGCACATCAAAATCCACATCGTCGTCATCGTAATCGCATGGCACACCCTGGTACATAGCAAGTGTAACGCCATGAAAACCAGCTTAGTAGTTGGCCGTTATTTTAATAATGAATAAATATATTATTCATTGACTCCAAAATATGAATTATTTGTAGAGTTAACCATTTTAATTAAAAGTTGGGTTTTTGGGTAGATTTTGTAAAATGGTGACCAATGATATAGAGTTTATTAAATTTAGATAAACGTATAAAGCGTGATGAAGAAAATAGACATTACAGTTCAACAAATAAATATAAAGATTTTATAATATTAAATAATAATAACATTATTACTAAAGTTAATTCCTACGCCTATTCCTATTTCTAAACGGAAAACACAAGCCTAATCCACCTCTTTAAAAACAAAGCATGCGGCCGAACATCGTCATCATCTTCCTCCTTATTTCTCTTCGCCGATCAGGCCAAGGAGAGGTCGCCGGAACTACGTCGGAACTTCGCCGGAGGAAATCCTTTACCATCTAATTTGTAAATCTTTGCCTATCGAGGTGAGTGATTTATCTCTCGTTAGAGTTAATTCATAGATTAGGGTTTATTAATATATTTTTGTGCAATTGGTGTTGGATTGGTGAATTGAATTGTTGAATTAACTGAGTGATTGAACTTGGATTTTGGATTGAAATGTTACTGCCTTGCTTCTTCGATCTGTTCCGTTCTTTCTTCTCCTGCTTTGCTCCCTCGTTCTGTTTTGCTCTGTATTTGGTTCTCTGGCCGCTGCTATCTTCGAGGGTTGCTGCCGCGCCGGCTTGTCGACACGGGACGAAGCTACTGTCGGATTCCCGCTGCTGTGTCTCCGACCATGGAGGCCGCCGGTACTGATCGCCGCTCGGGTCGCGGGTGACACCGCTGCTGGACAAGAAGTTCGCCGCCGCTGGTTTGAGGACTGTCCCTCGTTCCGGTTTGCAGAAGAGGAAGACATGCCGGGCCGGTAGCGGGTACTCCTTTGACAATAGGATTTGGATTTAAGTTTCTAAAATTGTAGATTGACCCCATGATCCTCAAGACGTTGCAATCAGGCTCTCTTCTATATTATGCCTCTAGGATATGAATAAGGACTACAAATTAATCTGATCCATTGTTTAAATTAATGAATGGAGTAAGGATAATTATGTGATTAAATTGGATTATGGAAATAAGCCACCTGGTATATCTAGGAAAGTCTGAGTTAAACTAAACTCATAAGGATTAAGATTTAGGATTATGCCTGGTGGGGCGAGCTTCGCATAACTCACAGGTCTTGGGTTAAAAACGTATGTACGAGAGTCATTAGCCTACCTAGGGATTCCTTTGTAGGGGCTCCAACCCGCCCATTGAGGATTCTCTTTGGGTTTCATCAAGCGTGGCCTCGGGGGATGAACAACAGGAACTGAATATAAATGAATAGTCGATCAAGGTATTTGATAATGATATTTGCTGATTCTTCTGATGTTGTATGATTATATGTTAATGGGTGCTAGTCTATGAGTTAGTTCTAGCGTTAGATACTTCCACTCTCCCTATATTTTTACAGGTAGTGAACAAAGACTGAATGAGGAGCAGCCTGGAGGACAGTGACGCGTGACGCTGGTGGATGACCGAAGCTGTTTCATTTAAATTAAATAAGTCTGTTGGATTTGTTTATTTAAATCACCAGAGTGCTGAATGCTGTTTTTTTTAAAGGCTTCCGCAACGTTTTAGTTATTTACTCCGATAAAACGATTTATTGGTTTCAATAAATATGGATGTTTGTTTATTTCTAAATGTTTTTAAAAATATTATACATGTGAATACCAAATTAGTGACAACCCGATTCGCTAACTCGTTGTTTCGGGTTACGCGGGTCGGGGCGTTACAGCAAGTTCGTTGTGCGAGCTTACTGTTGTACCACTTGAACTCGTCGAAGAATGAGCACGCTTCCCTTTCTTTTTGCAAGAAGACCACCGACTATTCCGGAAAAACCTTTTTTTCATTTCGGGGGCGGAGGTGGTGCTGTTTCTTCTTGTACAGTGCCGTATAACCCTTGATATTCCTTAAACAAATTCTCAAAAAAAGTTACAGCATTATCTCTTTCTTTTTTCCATTCTATTAAATGACTGTAGTAATAACTATTTTCATCTAAAAAACAAGTGTAGTAATACTCAATTAAAATTTTAAAATTTTCAATCTTAAAGCGTGGATCACAAATAATACCTATTTTATAAATATCAGGAATGTACAAATAATAAGCACACCATTTATCTCTCATAGGAGAGACATAAGGGTACAAATCCGGATCAACCATACTTTCACGAAAACATGTTGCGATTGTAACGCACTCTTTAAAAAATGTATTTGTAGTTGGTTGGTAAACATGAGAAAAAGTAAGAGTTGCGTTATTAAAAACTTCTAATACGGCATTCAATTTTTCAACAATAACAAATTCAAAAGGATCAATGATTATACGAAGTTCATCCCTAAAAAATTCAGCAAGTTCCTCTTTATATCTTAGAATCTGATCAATCAATTTGTAAGTACTATTCCATCTAATGTTGATATCTTTGGCAAAAACTATTTCTTTTTTACCCTTAGACTTACAGAACATCTTCCAGGACCTCGAAACAAGACGAGCCCCCCAAATTCTTTTAATTCCTTCTTTAATATTCGTCAAAACTCCGCCCATAGCTTCTAGTCCCTGTTGAACACATAAATTTAAAACATGACAGACCGTTGATGCAGAAATCTACCCAACGTAGACGGTGGGCAAATTTCTCTAAGTCTAGGAATAGCTGCAGTAGTATTAGTAGCATTATCAAAACCAAATGAAAACACTTTTTCAGATAAGTTGTATTCCTGCAGAATACTCTGAAGCAATAGGAAAATATTTTCAGCAATATGCTGTTCATTGAAATCACGAAATGCAAGAACATGTTTATGCATAATCCAATCACTATCTATCCAATGACAAGTAACACCCATATAAGACAAATTATGATAAGTTTCACTCCAAATATCAGTTTAAATAGCAACACGAGAATTAAAATTGAGAAAAAAATTTGCCAAATTTATTTTTCCAATTTTATACTGACGATTAATTTCTCGTTTAATTGTTTTTCTTGAAAAACCTCGTGCTTGAGGGTTTAATGCCTGTTGACAATAATCAATAAATCCAAGTTTTTCAGAAAACATGTATGGCAAATTTTCTTCACAAATCATTTCGGTCATTTTTTGCTTATTTTGCTCGTCGCTATAAGCAAAAAGGCCGCCCTTACCTCTGTTAGCAAACCGAGAAATTTGGGTTTGCACTTCTTGTCCTCCCTTCTTTTTTTCCCCGTATTTGGCGTACTCCACAGGATGCCTCGACCTTAGGTGCTTTTCCGGACCACCATAACTGCCGGAAACTCCCATTTTTATGACGGTTCCACAATGTTTACAAGTTCCATAAACTATGCCATCTTTTGTTTCTTTGTCAAAATGATAAACAAATAATCTCACCTGCCTCCACATCGACGTCGTTGCTCTGCGGTGTAGGCTCCTCGTCCCCGTCCAGATTATCCAGTCCTGCTTCATCAAGATCTTCGAATACACTATCAAGAGTGGGGAGATTTGCGTCCTCTCTACCAGAATAAATCTGGTTGAATTCTTCATCCGTCATAGCGTCCCCGATTAAGTGATCGGGAATAGTAGGAAAGGAAGAGACGGAGTGTCTTCCTCGAGAACCGCGTCCGCGTGAGGTCGAACCGTCGGAGGTCGCTTTAGCTTTGCTTTTCCTCAAACTTCGGTTCACGTCGCCCATATCCACGGACCTTCTACCGGACTCTCTCGACATTTTAATATATATTTTTTGGATATTAAAAAAATATATTAAATTTGGAAAATTTACAAAAAAATTCGAAATTTTATATATTAAAATTTTGAAAATTTCAAAAAGTAAAGAATATATTTAAAATATAACTTATATATTTTTTGATATTAAATAAAATAAAAATATTAAATTTCAAAAATTTAAATTAATTTCAAAATTTTATATATTAATATATTAAATATTTTAAAAAAAAATATATAAAAGATAATAATAAGAATATAAGATTGAGATTTGAGAGATTGAGATTTGAGAGATTGATAGATTGAGAGAATGAGAGAATGAGAGATGGATTGAGTGATTTTTTTTTTGAAAAAATGGAAGTATTTATAAGTTTATCCCCCCTCCCCCCCAATGCCCAAACGGCTATTTAGCCGTTGAGGCAGGCCCCCCCTCTGTTTTTTCGCAGCAATGCAACGGATAGGAAGCAAAAAAGAAAAAAAAAATTATACCGGTACCGGAACCGGACCAGTACCGTCGGTGCCGGTACCGAAAATTGGGTACCGGACCCGGTACCGAAGTGGGCGGTACCGGTACCGGTTCCCGGAACCGGTGAGACGAACGAGACGGCGTGACAGTGGTGAGTACCGGCGGTACCGTTGCCGGTCACGATACCGAACCGGTACCGTGTCCACCCCTATCCCTCATTTACTACAGATTACTCAATTTGTCTACCACTCGATATACACTCTGCGCTAGCGCTTCCCACTATCGCCTGTAGTCACTCTCACTCATCCCTCATCTTCTCCGTCTTCTCCCGCACTACAATTCAGACTTAATCTCACTCATCCCTCGTCTTCTCTCACTACAACAGAAAGGACTTTTTAAATTGCTTGTTTTTAACCTTTTAAACTGATTATTAACTGATGCAAAAGGTAACGATGCAATTAGTGCATATACTTTTGGCATCGATTGTACAACTAATTCAAAAAGTCCTACCCAAAATTGGCTCCTGTTCTAAGAAGGGCTTTTTGATATGGTTGTTTCTAAACAACCGATTCAAGACGCCCTTCCTAGAACTGGCACCAATGTTGGGTATGACCTTTTGAATCGGTTGTTTCCAAACAGCTGATTGAGAAAGCCCTTCCTAGAACTTGAGAAAGCCCTTCCTAGAACTTGCACTAATTCTGGGAAGGACTTTTTGAATTGGTTGTTTGGAAATAACTGATTGAAAATGTTTAATTTTTGTAATAGTAGAATTGAACAGACTAGAACAGATAGTAAAATTGAATAGACTAGAACAAAACAGATGTAGTAAAAATAACAGGCCAAAACAAAACAAAATAACCTCATAACATATACACCAACACTAAATAACAAAACTTTTAACAAAGTACACATATTATAGCATCACAATATAATAAGTAAACTATATATATTCATTCTAGCAAAAAAAATTATGCAAACATATGAAACTCATACTAATTTGTCAAGAAAATTACCAGAACAAAACTCACGAATCTCATCCAATTCGGCTTCTGTGTATGGTGCGAATGAAAAACCTACAAAAACACACTAGGACTAACTAATGTCAGATAATGGTATCGAAGACTGAGCACACAAAGAGACGATGAGCCACATAAATCACATCATATAATATCCACACTCTATCCCCCCTGTTGTTGTGGTGTTCCGAAAATATCAACCCAATCTGGTCTAGCCTTAAGCTGAGACATTTGTTGTTTCTGAAGTATCTGCCAAGACCTTAAAATTAGAAAAAATGAATCATTATGAAAATAGTTCGCGACAAATAAAGACTCCATTCCATATGATCAATCAAGCTCATATAACTCATATTAGTACTTACTCATTTACGAAAGTCTTCATTTTCTCATGTCCTCTGGTCGCGAAGATTGAGTTAAAGAAATACACTTTGTTTTCGAACAAGTGCATTACAACCAACACTCAATGATGCCTACAATTCAAAAAGAGCATTAGTAATTTGTTCCATTATAAGTAATAGATATAAAAAACTTGATCATTCATATTAAAATGATTTAGAAAACATACAAGTTCGGAAGATACAACTGTTGAAACACGGGTTTATCGTGTTTTCGTACTAAAGCCGTGTTCGTTTTTATGACAGGTTTTGATAATGCCAAACCGCCGTGAATGAGACAAGTTGTTGAATATACAAGGCGAGAAAAAAACATAAGAATAAAGCAAGAGAACAAGACCCAAAAGAAGACCAAGAACGAAGACCGTAGTCTTAGTGTTGTTGAGTCGGTCATAATTGTGATCAAGACCGACCCAACCTTTACACCTTGGCTCTTTAGGCTAAAATTATTTTCATTGAATTTCACACATCATAAAAATGTTTTTCAAACATGTTTAAAACATTAAAAACACTTGGTGTTCGCCCAAACCAAAAACCAAGCCATCCAGCGTTCGGGTTTCAGAAACCGGCGTTCGGCTCTCGGTTATCGGCTATGGTTTTTGGCGTCCGAACCAACCGAGTGGTTTTCAACTTTTTATGATTGGTTTTCACTCTTTGGCATGATTAAACGGTTCTCCAACAAAAACACTTTGAAAAGCATCTTTCGCTTTTGGTCGTTTGACAAAAATCATTCAAAACGGCACGAACTTGGCTAGCCGTGGTTTTCACTCAAATGACGTGGTTTTTAAAGTGTCTTACTTAATTTCTTAGCCAAATACATCAAATAAGTGTTTTAAACACTTGGTTTTTGTTTTGGAGAACTTTGGATTTTTCGGTCGGTTTTTGCATCGGTTGGCTAGGCCGTGGTTAAGGCAAAAACCATGGGTTCTTGACTAACCACCCACCCAGCGATGGGAAGATCTTCCCATCGATGGGTAAGCAGTCCCTTAGCCAAACCAATTTCCA